GGTCCGCAGGTCACTCCGAATGCGCTGTGTAAATAAGTTCAGAGCACGCATTTGCGTACCGACATGGATGACAGCTGTTAATGCACAATTACCATTTTAGATCGACAAACTGTACTGTATAAGATTTCTATTCAAATTGAAAGCATAAATCTAGGCTACCTGCTGCCGTTTTCAAAGCACAATGCAAAACTGTGACATTTCATTCAGTGATGCTCTTCAATCGGCAGCGCTAAACTCGGAAGTGCATATACTTACTTGCCGGCAACCCGCCAAAATAAAAGCCTGCTGATTTTAAGGTTGCAAATGATGAAAATTCATATATAAAAAAAAGAAAGAAAAAAAGAAGTAAATATTAGCATTTTATTTTTAAGTTTACTATAAAATAACTGTATTTGTATTTAATATTCCCTGTTTATTTTAAAATATAATAGTATTATCACACTTTATTATTTTGTTTATTAAGTGCAATAATATTATCACTATTATTAATTTATTTTTTATAGTTATATTTAATGGGTCATACTATGTGCAGTGTGAGGACCAAACCAAATCTCCAAGTTCTCTTATGAGAACCAGGCTGAAAATCTTATGTGCACCCCTGATCATACAGCACCAACAGCGTAGTCCAATTCTCAAATAAATTGCTCTTATAAGCTGGTTCTTTTTAATAAATCAAAAGCAGTGCATGGCCAGTCAGTGTAGTCTGATTTCCGAACAAAAGCCTTTTTTTTTTTACTGAATCAAAAACATACAGTACAGGCACTGCCATTTCCAATCACGTGACACTTATGAGTAGGTTATTTTTAGTAAATTAAATGTTTAAACCAGAAACATAAATTGCTACATACTTTACCATTAAGAAACTGAAAAAAAGAGTTTTAGCAAATCAAAAACAATCAAAATCAGCACCAACAGATGTAGTTCAAAGAAATAACTCTTACGGTTCTTGTTAGTGAACCAAAAATATTCAGAGCCAAAAGTGTAGTCTGATTCCAAAATGAACAACTATTATGAGCCGTTTCTTTTTAGACTAACTTACTAAACCAAGTTATCAGTCATGCTTGACTCAAAATGGAATCAGAATAGTTAAGAGGAGTCAGACTCTACAAAAACCACCTTGAACTATTAAAATGCACTTATTTTCCAATGCACATCCTGTTGAACAATTATAAATGGGATTATATGATGTATAGTACTGAGATACATGAGAATAACCTTTTGTAGAGATGGACAGCAGGGTTAGAGGTGGAGAGGGAGGTAAAGAGAAGCTGATGTGATCGGCACACTCATGAAGTACTCATGTTCAGCTGCAAGGTCAATAACCACTATGGCCCTTCGAGAGCTCTCCAAAATATGAGTGTGAGGGATTCATTCAACTACACTGATGGTAAATAACACTGATCCTCAGCTGTGATGTAACTTGCAGAGAGTGTGCAATTTTTAACATTTGTTTTACCTTTGTTAATGTTCACAAACAGGGCCTTTCTCACTTCTGTTCATCTACCTCACTCATTGCCCAAAGCCGAGTATGGAGAGCACAGGAGATCTCTGAAGGGATGGGATAATGATAGTTTCATGTAAAATTCATGTAGTGCTCTGCATTATGATGTGACCTTTGGAGCGTTCCAGTTACACTGCATTTTAATTCCCACACTGTGGTTCAAAGTTCAGGTCTGAAGTGATTGTCATTAGCATACCTCTCGTCGTGTTTACTTTATGACGACTAGACGCTCAGGAGAGTTTGAGAGCCGGAAGGATAACGCATTGTCCACGGTGCTCAAGACAAATTCATCTGCAATATTTGCCTTGCTGTGAGATGAGAAGAAAGACAAAATCTAGGAAAATCTGTCTTGGGGCAAAACCCAGACACAGGATTCCTTTTCTTTCCCCTACAGAGGTTCAAAGGGCCACCGTATCCAGAACGGAAACTGAAATGAGCAACGCTGCATCTGACTGAGAAAATACTGTTGTCGTTTTTAGCATATGTTTCAAAGCAACATCTCAGAGAAGGAAAATCAAAAGATTTTATCAGCTGAGCATACATCTCAGGCAGCGTCAACCCGTGTCTGAGTGTTAAAGGCATAGCACATCTTGCTAAATTTCTCAGTGCTAAAATATGTACAGATGCATCTCAATAAATTAGAATGTCGTGGAAAAGTTCATTTATTTCAGTAATTCAACTCAACCACACAAGCAATCGCATTACAGCATGGTCTGTCAGGTTGCCGCTTATGAGATCAAAAACAAAGTTTGGGAGGAATGGACTGGGTGTCAAAGGAAGTCATCAAACCAAAACAAAATAAGACCACATAAATCATCCAAGGTAGAATACCTTTTAAACGTCTGAGGTCGAGAACACTAAGTTTTTGATTGACATTTATTTGATGAAAAATACAGCCAATATTATGAAATTTACAATATAAAATAGCTGTTTTCTATTTTAATATATTTTAAAATCAATTTAAAACCAAGATTTTCAGTATCATTACTCCATGATCCTTCAGAAATCATTCTAATATGCTGATTTGCTGCTCAAGAAACATTATGATCAAAGTTGAAAAGTGTTGTACTGCTTAAATGTTTTGTGGAAACAAGTGATACTTTTTTCAGGATTCCTTGATGAATAGAAAGTTTGGGGGAAAAAAGCATTTATTTGAAATATAATTTTTGTAGCAATGATAAAGTTCTCAGTGTCGCTTTTGATCCATTTAATGCATCATTGCTGAATTAAAAAAATAATAACAATAATTTCTTCAAACAAACAAACAAAAAAATCTTAGTGACCCCAGAATTTGGAACAGTAGCGTATAAATACTCAAGAGGGGCAAAACAAAGCTTCCTTTCCAAGTCATTCACTTACTTGGCATTAATGCTAAGCGCATTGAGTTCTGTGCAAACATCTGTTGATCGTACCAGCTGAACTTGAACATAAGGGCTATGTTTTACCTCAGATCAGCAGATATAGCAATATTCCCTTCTGACTCTCAAATATAGTAAAGCTAAGCCTACGTCAACTATTTGAGCTCTGAGCCAATAGTAGGTTGTTGAAAGACTTCACATACTTCAACTCTAGATATGGAATACGGTGTGCATATTAATTAGGGATGCACCGATACCACTTTTTCCAGTACTCGCCCGATACCGATACTTTTATTTTTGGTACTTGCCGATACCGAGTACCAATACTGATATTTTTATTGCATTTGTACATTTTTAAAATATTGGGTACAGAAACCAAAAGAGTATGTATAATGTTAGTTGGTTAACTTCATTTATCAAATAGATACAGTCAAACCAAAATTTATGCAGACACCTTCAACATTTCTCACATTATCACAGTTTATTTGCTATAGTTTAGAAAATAGTAATAAAATATAACAAGAACTCAGAGTTAAATTGTGTCAGAACAAATTCAGCTTGATAATGTTAGACAACTTTGATAGAAAGGCATGTAATGGATTACAATCAACCAAAAATTATTCAGACAGCTGTTAGTATGACAGTATTTACACAACTATCAATACTTAGTTGGGCAACCCTTAGCCTTAATGACAGCCTGTAGTCTCCTGGGCATGCTGTCACCCAGCTTCATGCAAACCTGAACTTCAGTTTTTTATTTCCCAGACTCGGTCTGAATAATTGTTGGTCCCGAATTTGTATCAGTTTTGCTGGTAGTCCACTGTATGAAGAATTTTTTGGTATGATTTGTCACAGTTTACTTTATTTTGCTATCCTCACTTACATCGCATGCAAATTTAATTTACGCTTACAGTCTTATGTACACTTCCACAACTCTTACCCTGCGTATGCAAATCTTTTTGACGTCATTCTACCTTCATAAAAAAAATCTATTTTACATAAACTGAATAGCAAAAACCTGTTAATGTGTCAATGACAAACAAAAAAGTTCAAGTTTAAAGCATGTGCCAAGTTCCCACTAATATGCAACAAGGATGCATTAAATTGGTCACAAAAGCTTTCTATTTTAAATAAATGCTGTTCTTTTCCACAAAAAATATTAATCAGCACAACTGTTCACAGCATAATAATAATAAATGCTACTTGAGCACCAAATCAGCATATTAACATGATTTCTGAAGGATCATGGAGTACTGAAGACTGGAGTAATGGCTGCTGAAAATTCAGCTTTGCATCACAGGAATAGATGTTCATTATAGAATGGGTTTATTCAAGAATGAATTGCATTTTTAATTAACTTTTGAATAAAGTAATAAATTCAGACTCAATTCAATTCATATTCAAAGAGTGTCATGTCACTGACCCACTATAAAGCCCCGTTCACACCAAGAACGATAACTATAAAGATAACGATATTAGCATCCACACCAGCAAACGATATCGTCTGTTTATTCTAAGCGCATGCACGTCTGCCGCTTTAAATTCTTGAGCTTGAGTAAATTCTTGAGCTGAGATAGTTATTGGGAGTCAAAGAAAAATGAAATAATCATTATCGGTAGTGCTCCATCAACTGGATGAGCCTAATATTATTTATCAATTATATAATCTCCCACTTGCAATATCATACGGTAATAAAATGACCCAGAAGAGATGACTGCAATTTTGTTTGTGATCTAAAGGTTCAGTGCTTCTATACAAATGCAAATGAGAATTTTAGTATCCAGGCTGAAGATGTAGTGAGTTTGTGGTGAGTAGCTATAAGGTGCTTGGCAGAGACTCCACTTTTTTTTTCTGTTAACTCAAATTAATTGCTTCATGTTCCTTCATTCCGTGCAATACGTTTCTCTCGCTACAGCTAGACAAATATACCTCATTTCCAAAGGCAGGAATCTAACCTATTTTACGCCTGTCTAGAGCACAATGAGAATGTAATCAATGAATGATTTCATGCTCACGCAGTGAATTTGGTTCACAGTGACTTTTGGAAGTGTGTCTGTGTGTGTGTGTTGGCCAAGTTTATCTGATTTTCTCAGACATCCATCAACAGGAGGTATGGGAGAATGGATGGAGAATGGGCGTACCGTGCAAAGGTCCTTGTACTGCATCTTCTGGAACTTGGTGTCGGCGTTGCCGGCGCACAACTCTACGTATCCCAGCACCACCTGGAAGACAGTGTTGTGGATGGCCTGGGTGAAGTGCATGTGCAGTTGATCCATGGCCGTCTGGGGAGAAAGAGGAAAGACAGGAATGACAAGATTAACACTGGATTGTCTGTAGGAAGAGTTATTTTTTATACAGGAGTATTTTTATATAGCATATTCACAAAGGCATCAACGAAAAAAAAAAAAAAGAAAAATCAATATTATAACCTACCATTCTTTCTTGCATTGCGCAAAATGTTATTTTTAAAGTGAACATCTCTGTATGTTTAAAACCTGCTGTATTGACCTTTCTCCACAGAACTGCTTTGAAGCTAGCAGCTTTTCTTCTCACAACCATTAGATGCTTTCACCATCACAAAAAAAACAAGCAATGGGGTTGTATCCTACAAAGCAACACATAAATAATTATAAAAAAAAAACAAACCACAGTAAATAAATAAATAAATAAAAAACTACTTTAAAAAGTGTCCATGCACATTTTCTAATAAAGAACCACTAAATGGCTTTTAAACAGCCTGATTTCTTCCTTAATTATTATTTTTATCTTGTTTAACACTAAAAATATTTATAGTACATATTCTTAGAAAAAGACCAATTTACTTGAGGTGTGAAATTATATAATAACTTGCTTCAAGTAATTTTATAGATTTTATATATCTGTTCTTTTTGACTTTCTATTCATCAAAGAATCCTGAGGGGAGGGGGGGGACATCAGTTTCAACAACAACCCTAAGCAGTTTATTATTAAAATTTATCTTGAGCCCCAAATCAGTATATTATGGCTGAATTATATCATGTTTTTACTATTTATTTTTGCTAAAAACTCCAAAACTGTATTTGACTTGACTCTGTTAAAAATCTCTTCAAAAGAGCTAACTGAATAAAAAGGTTTTGCTATAGAGTATGTAAAAGAATAATAAAAGCATTCTCTGAAATCAAGTCTTATAAGTGTACTTTGTTCTATGGATGTTCAGATATTTTTTTACTGGAAACTAGAAGAAAATGACAATGTATTTTCCCTGCCAAGATCTGTTTGAAGGTAAAACTTCTGGGTAACAGTGGGCCTGGCTCACACTCTCACAGGATATTAATCATTACCCAGCTACATACTGAAGCTCAGTATGGTCCCAATGGGAAAAAAAACAGCTTTGCTACAACTTAATTACGCTTCTTTCCTCTCGCTTGCACTGCTTCCTTCTTCCTTCAGCCATGAGCGCATCCCTCCCTCGGCTTTGGCTGAATTCAATCAATCAAAAAGGCTATCAGGATATTCGCCTTCTCCTGCAGGCCAGTGTGTTCAAAAGCAGATAGGTGGAAATATTCAAAAATATTAAAACATATTTAAATGAAAATTATGGAGCTGATGGAGTCATCAACTTTTTCTGCATTTTTTCTGAGGGATTTTTTTTTTTTAAATAAACCTGAAAACATCAAACCATAATAACATATCTAAAAGACAAATGTGACGGAAATATTAATTGTGCGGAGAAAAACGAGCAATTACATCCATTAGATAGATTTAAAAAACAAGAAAAACCGAGAAGATGAAAAGATGGAGAATTAGATGTGCAGTCATTAGGCTAATTGCTGAGTTCATGGAACAGAGACTGAAAGAACAACACCTCTTTAGAGGCACAAACAACAGTTTTAGCGAATGACGTACAAACTGAAACAAGGTTTGTGTTTGATTTGTTTTAAACTTTGAAGCTACACTGTAAAAAGTAATCATTGAATCTATTTAAGAAAAGCGAGTAAACAACTGATTTTTACAAATTTGTTGAATTTACTTAATTACACTGTGTTATGTGAACTTTCAGGTGGATGCAATAGTTAAACTAAACAACTTTAGTAAACAGTACTTAAGAGCATCTAGTTTGTTGGATTAAAGGTCTGTTTCCATTGTCTGGTGCAAAGAACAATGAATACAGTTTTAGAGTGAATACA